TGACAGACCTCCGGGTGGCTATTTTACAACAGAAAAACTTCAGAAACAGACTCCAATGACAGGTTTCAACGAGAGACTGCTGAGCTGGAATTGATATGCAAACTAGATACAATCAATTTAGGATTGAATAAGGACTGGAAATGGCTGAGCCATTACAAACATTGAATCTATCCCCCCTTGTAAGTATTCTCACACTTCTTAGCCCAGTACAGACAGTTTGATATCTTGATTATCACTTCAAAAGTTTTTTTGCCTCTTACTTAATTGGCCTCTCAGAGTTGGTAAGACAACTCCCACCTGTTCATGGTGTGTGTGTGTGTGTGTGTGTGTGCGCGCGCTCAATATATGTTCCATTCTATATGCATCCGAAGAAGTGGGCTGTAGCCCATGAAAGCTTATGCTCTAATCAATTTGTTAGTCTCTAAGGTGCCACAAGTACTCCTGTTCTTTTATTTAATGTAGTGCCTCTCCAAACCATGTGGGGCAGACAGCAATATTACTATAGTATTAATGGTGTATGCCTGACATGCGACTACTGATAAAAACTGAAGAGCCACAGGAAGATTTCAGCAGAGATCCATGCGTTAATGAGTTCCTAAATCAGATTAATTAAAAAAAAAATCACAGGAAACTTATCTGGCATTGATTTTGTCTTACTTGTCTGACTGTTATACTATTGGTCATGTTTGTAAAGTATATTACAGAATGTTTCATCAAAAATTTTACAATCCTAAAACTTTGTCTAATATTTTAAGCCTTTTCATATAGTACCCACCAAATTTAAAATATCGTGGATTTAATACCAACCATCTAAATACTATGGCTAGCTGATAAAGGAGGAGTTGAAAGTTTGCTCCATCTGAATACACTGCTCAGGAAGGCACACCAGGAAGCAGCTCCTCTGATGTTATGAGCAAAGGAGAACTGATTGTTAACTCATTCAGAAGGGTCCACATAACCCTCTGAACCCTTGCAAGAAATTCATAATAAGGCAGCTTAAAAATAAAGAACTATCTTTCTGCTCAGCTCCCAATTCATCTACTTGAGGCTCAGCAACCAAGGAACAAACGTTTTACAGAGTATACTTACTCCCTGGAGATATGCACGTGTCACAAAATCTGGCATTTATTTCTTAAGTAAACATATAATCCCTACTAATACATGTTAACCCATTTACTTACCTTTATTACATGGATTAAAGCGAATCTTTGGATATTATTAATGACAGAAGGTTAAATATTATGGGTTAAATCCTGGCTCTGTCCAAGTCAGTAGCAAAACTCCCACGGAACCAAGATTTAACCTATTATATGTTTTATCTTAAATTATTTCAGCAGATAGCTCACATTTGAGCTTTAAACACCAATTATTATTGAAACAACTATTTATTACAAGATACGCAAGATTAATTTCAGAAATTTACCACTTGGGCTGGAGCAGGAGGAAATGTACATTCAGATTAAAAAAAAAAGTACAAATATTAAAAAGAGCTTCATAAACAAGGACTGGAAATGGCTAAGAAATTATACAAAGAAATCATTTCTATATCTGCCTGATCAGCTAATTATGATTTAATTTAACAAATAAGTATGTCTTAGCTAATCTCTCCCAAAATTGTGCTGGCAAAGAATGAAGTAAATGCACAAAGACTTGCAACAAGGGTGGAACACAAAGAGCTGCATATACCAGTTTCAAGGTTTGCTGAGGGGCAGGATGAAAGGCAAGCTGTTCTAATGGCTGGTCTGGCTCAGGGAGACGGACTTCAGAATTGTGTTGTTCAACTTGAGGTACAGGTGGCTGAAATGTAAAGTTTTATTAATTGTTGCTTTTTCCTCACACAGTTTTTACATTAGCAGAATTTGTACAGTAGAAAATAATTTCAGCTGGAGGAGTGGGGGATGGAGAAGAGACGCTAAAAATTCAGTTTGCTCTAAGGCCAGATGAGCAATTTCTATCTACAGAACGAGAGTAGATCAAGGTGATCCATAATAGAGATAAAGTACAGAAACTGTATTCAGGCCTACATAGGTTATCAGAAATACACATTCACCTCTTCTGGCAATCAGAGCCTAGAGCCCTTAAGCTCGAGTGTCTTCTCACTTACACCAGAGTAAAACAGAAATAACTGCATGAGGTCAACAGAGTTAGGCCATTTTAAGTGAGAGACCCTTAATCTTAATGTACATGATCTTCTGAAGCATTCATATTTTATTTTAATGAAAAATTAACTGAGTCGCTTGTATACAACTAGCAATTTAAAAATATTTTTAAAAACCCAAAAAACCATGTTAAGCAACATGTTTCAGAATTACCACCCAGTAGTGTATATGGTAATAGTCTGGGTCTAACAACATTCCGACACCATCAGAAAGGTTCAACAAAAATTAAAATCCTTTAAATAAATTCTGTTTTTAAAAAGCAATTCTTGCAAATAGCCCATTTGCAGTCTCTCTCTAAAAACTCTAAAAAACAAAAAATACCACACTTTTCTACAGTAATGGTCAAGAAACACTAAAATAGTGATATGTTTACAACACACAAACATAGTATCATTATGAAGCGTTGACACAGATTTAGCCATTAAAATAAAGGAAAATTATATTTCATTTGACCCCTGTACTGGGAGTGTAATCAGTAAAAACAAACAGCAGGTGACACTGAAGCTACAATTTGATTTAATTTCGCCCAATCTACCATAATATAGCAAGTATAAAACAAAAAATTATGGCTAGTAGCCCTGCATGGTATGAAAGTGCTATTATGGACAAGACTTTAAGGTGCCAGGATGAACAGAATAATGTGCATGCAAGTGACCACACTCCAGTGAGCATATAAGCAATTCCAATTAAGTAAACTGATATACACAAGTGTAAAACAAGTATTCAAAGAGGAACTCAAACTGTCTTGCAGAAGTGAACGGTACATCTATATCAGAGGAATGCAGTCTAGGAAACAGTCTTTGAGGAATACACTTAAGTTTTAAACAGAAATCTCTGTAGATATTAATGATAAAAAAAGATTCCAGCTTCAAATGTATACAATGATAAGAATACTGTAATTCAATAAGGTTAACTTGGCAGTAGAATTTCCCTAGGATTTATTTAGCACCCACTAACTTGTCAATCAATATTCTCGACAATGTTCAATACAAATTTTTTAACCTCCAGATACATCAGAACCATTCTTGACTGAAGATTAAAGACAATAAATTTTCATGATGAGACTTGAATTCATTTCGGAATTCAAGCACTACAACTAAATTGAGGAGGATGTTATCAAGATCTAATGCTTAAATTAAATTCTGTTTAGAGGCTTAAGTGTGTGTCATTCTAAACATGTCCATCACTGGTAGTGCCCAATATGTAAAATATACATAGATATTCACAAGAAATAAAAAAAACTTGTATTTACAGTTTTAGTATCAAACTCTTCAGGTGGGCAAGTAGTGTTGTCTATTTCAGATGTCTGTTCTGGAAACACAGGGATTTGCAGAGAATTGATAACAAGAGGATTCTCATTTTTCGGTCTAATTTCATCTCCATTGAAAATGTGCTAGAAAAAACAAATCACATCACTATAAGAAGAATTTTGCAACAAACTGTTTTAGGGTACGTGTGATTTAACAAATTATAACAAATATTTACACTTTCTTCATGACACAAAGTTCTACTGTGGTATTTTCTTGTTGATTGTCACAGACCCTGTAGAAGTTAAGGAATAAAGAGCTACAGAATCTGAAGGGGTTTCTTTTATCCCCAGACTAGGGCATAGGTTTCAGTGCAAGTCTCCTACCCAAACTTTGTAGCCAATCCAACACCCATTAAAGTCAAATGAAAGACTCCCATAGACTTCAGTAGGAGATGGATCAGGCCCTTAATACAAACCTTAAAGCCACCCCTGTCCACTGAAGAAATTATTCAATTTCCATACTAACTTAGTTCTATTGTTTCTTTATTGTACCAAGTATTGGAGGGACAAAAGTTAGGCAAACAAAAATTGCAAATATCCATAACCTGCAGCTCCCCTTCCTCACTTCTCCTTCCCAGTTTGCTAGGCATAAGAAAGGTTTTACAAACCAATTCTCTTCACATCAGTGGCAACAATCCAACTGATTTTATGGGCCTGTTGAAGTTTTTATGATTATCATCCTCCAATTCTAAACACAGTTGTGAAAATCCATTTACATGTATCAAGGAGATGCAATTAATAATATGTGTATCAAAATCACAGTATTCTCTGCCCCCACTATTTCTACTTGCTGCTTTATCTCTTTTGAAACCACAATCTAATCTACTGATCAGCAACTAGTCTACTCTAGCCACTTTACATATGCAAATTAAGAGTATATTTCTTGATGAGAAACTAAAGTTTTACTTTTAAATTAAAATTGAGGTGCCAAACTGCTATAGCTTTACAGCATGCTTTCCGCTGTAAAGATATAGCAAACTCTTTCCTCAACATAAACATTCAGACCTTTTTCAGGGCAACTTTATTCAGTAAGTTGAGAAGCTAGGACTCTCATACGAACAGTGACAATGCAGTTCTGAAAAGGTAAAGTGACCGTATTCCGAAGCCAGGCCTTCCGCTGAGGTAAATCAGCTGAGCTCAATCAAAGACCGTAGAGCAATGCTGATTTACACGAGCCGAAAATATGGCTGCCAGGCTTTTTGGGAAGGTTTAAATGTCAGTTTACAAACATTATTAATCAATTGTCTTTACTTTTAATACAAAGGAAAAAATCTTTGGAGCACTAATAATAATAATAATAATAATAAGCTAATACTTCACAGAGATATAGTTATCACATCCATCTCTAGCCAGCATCTGCATTTAAAAAAAAAGTCACTGCAGATTTATTGCCATTCAAAAGCCATCGTGCTTTCCCATCTCACTCATCTCCCCATGCTAAAAAAGAAGTCAAGATGGTAATTTATTTTTATTTATTGAATTTTTGTTGGTGTTTTGATTTTGGCATATTCCCATTAGTCTCCTTTCCAAGATACCACTTTACCTTTTGTCCCTGGGATTCCATGTCTTCCATCTCTGGAAGTTTTTCTAACAAAGGCAATATGCTAGCATAGTATATCTTCCACCAGAGTACAAGATATGAGAACTGATGCTGAGATCCTGAGGTGGAGCCATCCTGCATAATTGTTCTTGTTTGAGGGTTGTACTCGTAGTGCCAGGGCTTTGCTGACCCCAAAAAGTGAACTACCTTTGCATCTCTGCCAAAACTGTGGAGGAAAGAAATACAAAGTTGTGGTATAGGAATAAATACATTCTGATCGGCATTTCAGAAGAAATGTGTATTCTTGGTGCGATGGTAGGTGTGACATCTTGCAACAACTACTCGTGACAATCATTGACCTCTTATTAATATAACTATCACCAGATGTGATCTCAGTTATGCAGAATAATTGAAAGCTATTGAAATTACATAATTTTATTTTATTAATCTGAATTGCTTGCTTGAAAGAAAGGAAATAAAAGACTGCATTGTCACTTGTTTCCTACTGCTGATTCCAATGGAAATAGTTCATGAAGGAAACTGAAAGATTAAATTTCATATCTCTTCTTGTACATTCCCCTCCAAACTAATACAAATCACTTTACTGAAAATCAAAGCAGCAAAATTCTTGATTATTGTGGTTCCAGTATTTAAGTTATCCAATGAAAGGTTCACACGAAGTTCATTGTAATTCACACTAATAGATCATTCATGAACCATTTTTGAAAAAATTTCATATAGTCAGGCTTATAACAGTGTACTACAAAAGTTTATTAAAGAGGAAAAAAAGAAGAGCATTTGAAATCATATAATAATTGCTAGCACCAATTTTGCTTCAAGGAAGAATCTTATGGACAGATTTCAATACCCTTACACTGTGAGAAACTAATGGAAATCAATGCGGCAACTTTTGCAGTAAGAATATCAGAACTATGCCATTAGGTAATCTGTGGTCTGTAGAATATAAGGAAAGTGTCACTGAAGTGACATATCAACCAAGATATATCAATTTAAGTAATACTGTTTCAACTTTTACTTTTGTTCTCTATTACAAGAGCTATTTAACAATACGAAGTGTTGAGAAATCTTGGTATTCTGCATCAGAGCAGATGCTAAAGGCTCTGCATTACTGTATTCCAACTTCTTGTCACATGACTTCACATTGTGGACTATTGTGTTAGACTAACTTATAATCAAGTTTCAGAATGGGTCACTATCCTTTTCTCTTATAAATGGGCAAAATATATTAAAGGGCTCTATAGAATTGCAATCATCCACCAGTAATACTACTTACTGTTTGAAAGCAGGAACATACGTGTAGATAGCACTACTGCTTAAGTTGTAGATAAATGGTAAATGTTTGCCAATATCTGTTGTTGCCCAGTTACTGAAGAAACTATTTAGTAAGCCTTGATCACCACCTAGAGAATAAATAAAATTATAAACAGTATCAACAAAATGTTCATGTAAACTACAATTTGTTTGAAGACTTAATAGCCAAGAGAAAATTCAGTACTGAAAAAAGAAAAAAATGAGTTCAACTGAGACTCTTTGGTCTAAAATTTGAGTGATTTGAGCTATAAACCCACACAGGTTTACAATCCTGTGCAGTCTTCCTGGACCCTGAACCTGGGCGTGCAGGGTAAGTGGGTGCTATGCACCCATTTCTTGCTGCTCCCTGAACACATGGTTGGAAACTGGGCTCCACCTCCTCCACAGTGGCACTGATCTAAGCAAGCGCCAATATCCCTTCCCTGTACTGTTCCTGCAGCCGCACAGCCGAACAACAAAAGTACAATCTAGCCCACAATCATGAGGTAAATCTGTGTCCCCCACAGTATTTTAGCTTAATCCTTTAGACTCCAAGGAGGAAGTTATATAAATATTCAGTTTGTCTTGCTTTCAAAAGCCAGTTTGTGTATGAGAAGAAACTGCAAAATCTTCAAATTGGGTAAAAATTGCCCGTAAGCAGCAGCAAGTAGACAAAAGAGACAACCGAGGTGATGGTAGGTGGGAAGATGAGGTAACAAAAGCAACAGCGTGATGCCAGTGTGTAACTGTTTGCAGAATTAGGGCCCTACTGGCTAATATACTGAAAGTTAATATAAATACAAAATATAATTATACAGCATGAATTTGATAGCATGAGAAATAAATAATACACTTATTAAATCAAATAATAAAGAATGGAAGGAAACAGAAATTAAGAGTTCATAGAATCACAGAAATGCTGGGCTGGAAGGGATCTTGAGAGGCTACCTAGTCCACCCCTGTGCACGTAGGCAAGACAAAGTAAACCTAGCCCACCGCGAGAGGTGTTTGTCCAGCCTATTCTTAAAAACTGCCAGTGATGGGGATTCCACAGCCTCCCCTGGAAGTCTATTCCAGAGCTTATCTATCCTTGAAAGTTTTCCTTAATATTTAACATAAATCTCCCCTGCTGTGGATTAAGCCAATTGCTGCTTCTCCTACCTTCAGCATTTGCTCACCATAGTCTTTATAACAGCCCTTCGCATATTTGAAGACTTATCAGAGCCACCCTCAGTCTTCTTTTCTCAAGACTAAATATGTCCATTTCTTTTCTTTTTTTTTTTTTTTTTTTTCTTCTCCTTTCCTTCTTCTTCATCTTTTCCTCATTGGCCAGGTTTTCTGAACATTTTATCATTTGTTTCATTCTCCTCTGGACTCTCTCCAAATTGTTCACATCTTTCTTAAAGTGTGGCCTCCTGAACTGGACAGAGTACTTCAACTGAGGCCTCACCAGTGCAGAGTAGAATTGGACAATTACCTCCCATGTTTTATATAGGACACTCCTGTTAATACATCCCATAAAGTTATGAGCCTTTCACTATTGCATGACACTGCTGATTCATAACCAATGTACATTTGAATATGCCTCTCCAAGCATAGCACTTTGCACTTGTCTTTATTAAATTTCATCTTGTTGATTTCAGACCTGTTCTCCATTTTTTCAAGGTCAATTTGAATTCTAATCTTGTCCTCCAAGTTTGCAACCCTTCCCAGTTTAGTGTCATCCACAAATTTTATAAGTATGCTCTCCATTCCATAATCCAAGTCATTACTGAAAATATTGACTACTACCCCTGTGAGACCCTACTAGATACCTACTCCCAATTTAACTGCAAACCACTGATAATTACTCTGAGTACAGTCTTTCAACCAGTTTTCCACCCTTCTTATAGACCGTATCATCTAGAAGACCACATTTTCCTAGTTTGCTTTTGCGAATAAGATGTGGGACAGCCTCAAAAGCCTAACAAAAAAAATCAAGCTATATCACGTCTACAGCTTTCCTCTTACCCACGATGCCAGTAACAAAGTCAAAAAAGGAAATTAGATTGATCTGGCATAATCCATGCTGACAAATCCATGCTGGCTATTCCTTATAGCCCTATGAACCTTTAGGTGCTTACAAATTGATTGTGCAATAATTTGTTCCAGTATTTTTTCAGGTATCCAAGTTAGGCTGACTGATCTAGAATTCCTGGATTCTCTTTGTTCCCCTTTTTAAAGATAGGTACTATGTTAGCTTTTCTCCAGTCCACTGGTGCTTAACCCACCCTCTATGATAGTGTTTCTCAAACTGGGGTCACCGCTTGTGTAGGGAAAGCCCCTGGCAGGCCGGTTTGTTTACCTGCCGCATCCGCAGGTCCAGCCGATCGCGGCTCCAACTGGCCACGGTTTTCTGCTCCAGGCCAATGGAAGCTGCTGGAATCGGTGCGGGCCGAGGGACTTACTGGCCGCCACTTCCAGCAGCCCCCATTGGCCTGCAGCGGCAAACCGCGGCCAGTAGGAGCCGCGATCGGCCAAACCTGCGGATGGGGCAGGTAAACAAACAGCCCCGGCCCACTAGGGGCTTTCCCTACACAAGTGGTGACCCCAGTTTGAGAAACACTGCTCTATGAGTTCTCAAAGATAATCACCAATGGTTCCGAGATTACTTAAGGAAGTGACTGAAGCACTTTAGGGTGAATTTCATCAGGCCATGCTGACTTGAATAATCTAACCTATCTAAATATTCTTCAGCTTGTTTTTCCCCCCAGTTTTGGCTTGTATTCCTTCCCCCTTGTTGTTAATATTAACTGTGATAAGTATCTAGTAACAATTTACCTTTTTAGAGAAGACTGAAGTAAAATAGACAAACACCTCAGCCATCTTGATGTCATCCGTTATTAGCTCTCCTTCTCCAATAAACACAGAGCCTACACTTTCCTTCATCTTTCTCTTGTTCCTAATGTATTTATAGACCCTCTTCTTATTGCCTTTGATGTCCCTTGCTAGGTGTAACTCATTGTGTGCCTTAGCCCTTTGGATTTTCTCCCTACATGCTTGTGTTATTATTTTGTATTAATACTTAGCAATTTGTCGGTTTCCACTTATAGATATAGACAAAGGAAAGAATATTTTTAACATAAGTTTTCAATGAAATAATGAGTAGTGAGGCAGAGAGATTCAGATAACCCCCATCCATCTTATATGATCAAGAGTTATAGGGTTAGATCCTCAACTAGTGTAAACTGGGAGCTATGACAATTTACATCAGCTGAGGATCTGCCCCCTAGGTTTTTTGAGAGATTAAACCTTGAGTATTGTCATTTCCTCCCTCTGCTCTGCCAAGTAGGACACTCAGCCCTTTACAGTTGTGGAGAATTGGCTTGTTGAGGGTAAGGGAAATTTCTTGCACAATGTTCTCTCTTACCATCAAAGCTGCCATATTCAGTAGCAAACTGCAGCAGACGGTTATAAGTTTCTACAGAAGGTCGAAAGACAAATACGCCACTATTAAAGCAATCTGGCCAGCCAGAATCAGGAGCTGCTGAAAGCTCTTCCCGTTCAAACAGTTCATCAATGTTACATAACACCTTGAAGAAAAAGAAAAAGAAAAAAAAGAAAAAAAAAAAAGAAAGAGTTAGACTCGAATTTAAAATTTTAAAGCAATAGTTTATGAGCACTTTGTTGCTTTTAACATTTGGACAGCTAAATCAAAACTGATGGATTAAATTACTATCCTTGTCATGGAAGCTCTAAGTATTTAGAGCACATTAAACAGTGACAGTGACATTTGTTAGTTGATAAGGTAACAATATTTATAGCTTTCCTTAAGTTCTAAGGCAAAACAGTGACCATAATGAAATTACAATATGATCACCAGGTTTAAACGGCAAGTCCCTCAAAATATTCTAGTGCAACAGGGAGAATAACACTTTTACACCCCAGGATATAAGCAGGCCTTGCTGGTACATTTTTATAGATATCTATATCGAGAGAGACAGACAGAGAAAGAGAGACAGAACGGGTCCTTCTGGGCATGCTGCAGAGCCCATCTGTTTGAACAAGTGTAATAAGGGCTGGTGAAAGCTGTGTCTGAAAGATCCAGGTTGGCACTGACTCTGGGGACGGCTGAGTGGAGCACTAGTTTGGTTTTTTTTTAAATATTGTTTGGGTTTATTTTTGGACTTGTTTGCCTGGTACGTTTGCTGGTTTCCTTCTTTTAAGCTTGAAGGGAACAAGAAAGACCGCTCCGTTTATACAACAACATTGAGGACCAGATCCTCTGCTGATGAAATTCTGCATTGCTCCTTCAAAATCAATGGAGAAATGCTATAATACATTAGCTGAGGATCTGGTCTGAATTTTTAATGGTTAAGAGAAGCCTATTGCATGGGATAGGTACTCTTTTATATAAAACTATAAATCAGAAATAAAATAGTGAATAAATACATTTCTTTACCACAAAAAGGAAAGATTCAATAAAAAACCCACTTCCCCTGAATATCTCCCTTTTTTTGGTAAATACAACAAAGTTCGGGATCACAGCTCATAAAAATGTTTTTCAGACTCAGACAAATGTTTAACTACTTAACTTTCTAATATAAACAATGAACTGGCCCAACTAATCCTGCAAAATGAACTGCTTATGTGTAGAGGATGGCCAATGCGATCATGGCCATAATTTGTACTGGACAACTAATTAAACGGGTGACTTTATTTCCATAGAAACTCTTTTGATCTTTGGGCCACCTTACTCTGATGGGTACCAGTCTGGATTTATCTAGCAGAACCTACCCAGCTATCTTTAACATCACTCAGAATCCTAACAACGTGACTATCACTCTCTACTCACCAAAGTGTCTGCATCCATAAAGACACATTTGCTATACTGAGTGAGAGTCCAACAGTGAAGTTTGGTGAAGGTTACACCCAGCTCTGGCCTCTCCAGCAGAGCCAAGTGCATCGAGTCAGCACTGTCAATTGCACCCACTTCAATCACTTCATCAAACACACTGCAGAGGACAGCCCTGACAAAGCAAGCAACATACAGGAACAATAAAATTTAGAAACATTTCTTCAGTTAAACATAGTGCAAAAATTCTGGCACAGAGATAACTGGCCCCACAATGACACTCAGTTCTGATTTAAAACAAAACAAACAAAAAAACTAGAGGTTAAACTAAGATGAACGGTCCTTGTAAACAAGAAGTAGTCGTCTGCCCTGGAAGTAACTATAGGGGCACAAATTGCAAACTCCCTTCTACTAAGGGCCAGTGCGTCTCAAGAAGTGATTGGTTCTGGCTGGGGAGGTGGTGTGACTAGGACTCTCACATTTTCAGTGCACCCCTATTATAGCATTTGCCAAGTGGACAGTAGAGCTGTCCTCTCATTGCATACCCATGCAGAACCACCACCACCGGCCACTTCTGCAGTGCATGGTCCCTCCCCAAGGTGAAGCAGGCCTTACTGGTACAGCTATTTGCACCTCCCTGTGCCTGTCAAAGTAAATTTATCCTCAGTTATACATGTTATATCTATATCTCACATATTTTAATTACTATTGTTTCAAGCCCTCTCAAAAGAATTCCAGTGGGGTGTCTCTTCATAATCACTCTCAGAACCTTCCTAGACAATACTGAAATTGATGATAATCATCAACATTTACAAGCCTAGAACAGGAAAAAATAACTCTTAAGGTAATTTATTTGTGTTATGGTATCACTTACAATATCCTATGTGTTGTCCAAAGAGAGGAAGACACAAGCCCTGCACTCTGCAGCTTATAATTTAAGGACTAACTGGCTCTCAGAATTAATCACCAAAATATGATGGGGGAAGGGGAGAGTTAAGATTTGGTTTTGTTAGAGTTTTTTCTTTTAATGTGGGGTAAAATTTTCAAAAAGTCCTATAACTGAGATGTAGGCTCTCAAGTCATTTAGGTGCTTTTGAAAATATTATTCTCATCAATTAACGGAAGAAAATTTTTCAAAAAATGTCAATTTTCAACAAAAAACTTCATTAGATTAAAAAAATTGATCCAGCTCTAAAATTCATATTATCAATATCTTAGAGTCTTATTCAGGGATAGTATACTGTTCAGATTTGACCTGCACTTAAAAATCCTGGAAACAGACTTGACAGTGCATCTAACCTGCAGCAAAAAAAATAAAAAAAAATTGCCCCATGCTTTACTAATCACCACCACACTGCATTCAGAATCAGCAATGTGCACAGTTCCCAAATGCACACAAAGCCAAACTCAGACCCAATATAAGCAGATGTAACAATTGAAGTCTGTGGTATTCTGTTTTACATCCCATTCAAAAGATGTAATGGGATCTTCAGCAGTATACTGCAGCACTGGTTCAGTGGTAAGAGCGAAGATTACCATCTACTGATTTACCTGCATCATCTGGGTCTCCCAGCGTATTGCTGTCCAGCACTGACCAAACTAATTTATTAGAGGTGAACCGATCAAATGAGAATTCTGCACATAGAATGGCTGTGGAATCAGACTAAGTGGGAACGTGTGTTGGTTGTTTTTTCTTTGTTTGTTTTAACAAAACAAAACACTATTTACATGTTCCACTACCAAAAACTTAGGGCAATATTTTCAAGTGATTAGTAATTTTAGGTGCCCAACCTGGGACATCTTAAAGAAACCTAATTTTCAGGAGGGTATGCTGCCTCCTCCCCCCGGCTTTTGTGTGTGTGGTGGAAATAAAAGATTGAGAAACACAAAAATCACTAGTCACTGTTGAAAACCTTGGGTTTAGTTTCTCTGAACAGCAAGAAGCTAAGGTAGGAGTTAAAAATAAAAACACAGTAGGTTTATTTGTAGCTATGTTATGGCAAGAAATACAACAGAAGTCCAGTTTGCAACGGATTATTTTTCACATTTACTACAGCTGAGAATTTGTGAATTCTTACCTCATGACACTGGAGACCTGTGGTGTAATTAGTATGGCCAGCTTTCTAGATGTCATGTGATTCCTCAAGGACTGTCCAAGAACCAAAGCTCCTTGGCAATAAACGTCATCTGTACCAAGGGTCACAAATGCCTGATCTGCTACTGTGAACAAATATTTAGAATGGTTATTCTATTTATGTAAAATAAGCATTCTTGGCAGCATCCCACCATCCATCTTCCCCTCCAGCTAACAAACAAGCTATAGCTTATAAGAGCCTGTGCTCTCTATGATAAGCTCCTTCCCTTCCCAAACCCTGCCAAAAGACAGAAAACTGAATAGAGAATTCCAAGCACACATTTGCAGAACGTGTCCATTTTTTTTTGTTTTGTTTTCTTTTGTTTACCCCTAATTTAGGCTAGTATCTGCTATGAGTTTGTGGACTAACCTTAAATTGATTTATAAACAAATCACTTCCCAAGTGGTGTTACATAACCCGACTGCCAAATCATGCCAGCTTACCTGTAATAAAATCTTTAGATTTTTCCTTCAAATAATATTGTATATAATATAATCCAACTGATTAGGTAAATTCTCTCATTCATGTCATTATCACAGAAAAAAAAAAACACACTGCTGCATGTTGTTAAGGCAGGAAGACAAGAAATTGCTAAATCCATCTATCTTTTTGTGACCTCCGTGAATCAAACCAATATTCAAAAAGGATACAGAGAAGAAAAACATAACAGAGTTACTAAGCAGGCTGGATAAGTAGGTGTACCTCAGCATACCTGCATACAGCCCCTAGGAGTAACTCCTCTCAGGTGGCAAAGACCCCGTATCACGAAGTAACTCTCAGAAGATGTTTAGGGGCATGCGTGTGCTTCTTGCCCCTGAGGGAAATGAAACAGCCACAGCACCAATAGGAGGAGGCAAGCTGTCTCTGCACATTCTTGCAGTAACAGTTGGTTATTTTATTTACTGGGCTCACATCTGCATCATTATTCCAGGGTCTCTGCCAGCTGGTGTTAACCTATTAATAAACACGGTTGCATAACAATATATTTTTGCTTTCTAACAGGAATGTTATTACTGGGGCAGCCCAGGGGAAAACCAGAATCACACAGCCAATAGGTGAATGGCATCTCTCAGAGCGAGCCACCCATCAACCAGCATGTCTGGGCTCACTAGGCCACACAAAAACAGGAGTACTTGTGGCACCTGAGAGACTAACAATTTTATTTGAGCATAAGCTTTCGTGGGCTACAGCCCACTTCTTCGGATGCTTAGAATGGAACACAGAAGATATTTATACATTCAGAGAACATGAAAAGGTGGGAGTAGCCATACCAACTGTAAGAGGCCAATCAATTGACCAGGAGATCGTTGTTGGGTGGATGCCACTGACTCCTACAAATTGTTGGATATCTTCAGTCAGTATTTGTTTTGGAAGCATTATTAACTCAACCCCACCACTTAAAAGTACAGGCAATTATGCAGAAGCAAATTATACCAGCAGTAGCATAAGATTGTCTCAAGTGGAATTTTTCTGAAGCATGGTACTATATTAACAGCTCTGGGCAAAACCAACATCGCAGGGTGAAGCAAACTGTTCTAGAGGAACATAGTACATACAACAAAGAGTCCTGTGGCACCTTATAGACTAACAGAAGTATTGGAGCATGAGCTTTTGTGGGTGAATGCACATGCTCCAATACTTCTGTTAGTCTATAAGGTGCCACAGGACTCTGTTGCTTTTTACAGATCCAGACTAACACGACTACCCCTCTGATAGTACATACAAACTAATTAAATAGTAAAAAGGTTTTGATATCAAAGTGTGTTTAATTTTTAATTAAATGAATTTATTATTTCTACCCATTATCAGCAAGAGAATCTAAAGATGTAATGCTTTAAAACTAGAACTGATTGGTGTACTGAACATTGCTAAACAAGCAGAAGTTGACAAAGGACTATTTACTCTGTATAAGGCTATTTCTTTACTAGCACTTTTGTCGGTATAATTTATGTCGCTCAGGGGTGTGGAAAAAAACATCCCTCTGAGTGACATAAGTTACATCAACAGAAGCACCAGTGTGACCAGTGCTGTCGGCAAGAGACACTCTCCCACCGACATTGCTACAGCCACTCGTTTATGTCAACGGGAGAGCTCTCTCCTGTCAGCACAGAGCGGCTACACGAGCAATCTTACAACAGTGCAGTTGCATCAGCACAGCTGTGCCGCTGTGAGCTCACTAGTGTTGATATGGCCTAGATAAAGCCGTTCAAAAATGTATTCCAAAGCTAACAGCTTTTACAGGCTAGGGAAAAAAAATACTAAAACTACCCTCAGAAAAACAAAACAAACAATGAGAGTAGGCATTATATGTGGCAAAGTTCAGGAGCAAGTTTGTATGGCACAGAAGTACAACAGCAGAGAGTTGCAGCAATCCAAAACGGAAAAGAGAAAAACAGGCATGTAAAGTTCATTATGATTGCCTGAGAAAGCATCAATCTCTATCCAATTTGTATATAGTATCAGCATCGACCCTATTTCAATGCGACTGGAGCAAGCTGATCCCTGATTTTACACAACCAGATTACAAATTTAAAATAATCATTAAAACCCAGAACATTTAGGTCAGTTGAGAGCAGAGGAAACAGATTCACAAGAAAGACTCCCGCCTCCCTTTGTGCCTTAGGACATGGCTGCTGCCTGTGCAAATCATTAGACTGAGTCTAATCCGACTAAGCGTCCTCATCTCCTTTTGACATCCAAACCTGAATCACTGGAAGTATACTGGCTGTTTTTGTTGGAATTCTTCGAGAGTAGCATGCATTCCCCCCAGTGCCAGCTCAGCTCTGTTGGCTGATTTGTATGGGCAGCACATGGAGACCTGGCCCAAACCTTGCCAAACCTGTAAGCAACATCAGAATGACACAGCCATTATATTCAGGAGGCCTGGTCCTGCAAAGCATTGAGATCATTTGACTTTTATTAACTTAAGTCTGGATATTAATGGGAGTTGAGGGCGCTTAGTATTTTGCAAAATGGGGAGGAGGAGGAGGAAGAATACAAGAAACAGGGTCATGGCTCCCTCAACTGTAAGGTAGCAAAGTGAAGGGGTGTAACCCTTCACCACACACTGTCAAGGTATCCCAGACACTTACCTTCATGGCATACGCTTTTTATTTAGAAATGTTTTAAAATCTTTTGACAGTCAGGAAATTGTTCTGGGTTTGTTTGGTTTTTTGTTTGTTTGTTTTACAACTGTCCAAGACAGGATACCCTAATCCTAACTACTTTTTCCACAGCCTTCTCACTTTTACCTGACAAGGTACAGGCTGGGCCACAATATATATTATGAAGTTTGTTGACAGATTTTGTTTAAACTAGCTCCCTGTAGCTCAAGAGACTCATCAGACCAGAAGCAACCCACTAGTGTTAACACAAGTCAAAAATCTCTGCTTTATCGGTATTTAGACTGAATTAATTTGAAGCTACCCATCCTCCAATATCAGATTATTAGTAGGACAGCACAAAAGTAAACAATGGTATAACATAAGTGAATCACTACTGCAGCTGACTAAAATCAGTTTAACAAGGACATCTCTGATAGTACTTTCCAATCAAATTCATAAAGGAAGCAAGCAAAGAACAAGGGACCATTAAATGTGGATTCCTGTGGACCTACTGATATTAAGGTACAATTTTGTGCTCCAAATGGCAGTAAGACTAGGAATAATAAAAGCTCACGTCCTTTAGGAGTATCCATAGTTTATTTACAAAACAAAAAACCTCCAAATGAAAACCAGCATTTTCATTTAATCAATATTCAATCAAAGATACTTTTGAACTTAAGGAAAACTGTACCCAATGTGAGATCCAGATTGGAACTATTCAAATAGATTGCTGTGTAGGTGAAAGTACTACGGACCCTGGACTTCAGAAAAGCAGACTTTGATTCCCTCAGGGAATAGATGGGCAGGAAACCCTGGGAGGCTAATCTGAGGAGGAAAAGGAGCCCAGAAGAGCTGGCTGTATTTTAAAGAAGCCTTATTGAGGGTGCAGGAACAAACCATCCCAAAGGGCAGAAAGAACAGCAAATATGGCAGGCGACAAGCTTGGCTTAACAGAGAAATCTTGGGTGAGCTTAAACACAAAAAGGAAGCTTACAAGAAGTGGAAATTTGGACAGATGATTAGGGAGGAGTATAAAGATATTGCTCGAACCTGCAGGAGAGAAATCAGGAAGGCCAAGGCACAATTGGAGTTGCAGCTAGGAAGGCATGTGAAGGGTAACAAGAAGGGTTTCTACAGGTATGCTAGAAACAAGAAGGTGGTCAGGGAAAGAGTGGGACCCTTACTGAATGGGGGAGGCAACCTAGTGACAGATGATATAGAAAAAGCTGACATACTCAAATGCTTCCCCCCCTAAGTCTTCACAGACAAGATCAGCTCCCAGTATGCACAGTATGGGGGGGGGAGGGGAAGAGGGGAGGTGAGCAGTCTTCAGTGGTGAAAGAACAGGTTAAGGACTATTTAGAAAAGCTGGACATGCACAAGTACATGGATCCGGATCTAATGTATCCGAGGGTGCAGACAGAGTTGGCTGATGTGATTGCAGAGCCATTGGACATGAGCTCTGAAAACTCGTGGCAATTCGGGGGAGGTCCCAGACGATTGGAAAAAGGCAAATATAGTGTCCATCTTTAAAAAAGGGAAGAAGGAGAATCCAGGGAACTACAGATTGGTCAGCCTCACCTCAGTCTCCGGAAAAATCATGGAGCATGTCCTCAAGGGATCCATTCTAAAGCACTTGGAGGAGAAGAGGATAATCACGAACAGTCAACATGGATTCACCCAGGACAAGTCATGCCTGACCAACCTGATTGCCTTCTATGATGAGAACTGGCTCTGTGGATATAGGGAAAGTGGTGGACATGATATATATAGTGACTTTAGCAAAGCTTTTGATACGGTCTCCCACAGTATTCTTGCCAGCAATTTAAGGTAGTATGAATTGGATGAATGGACTATAAGGTGGATAGAAAGCTGGCTAGATTGTCGGGCTCAACGGGTAATGACCAATGGCTCAATGTCTAGTTGGCAGCCGGTATCAAGCAGAGTGTCCCTGGAGCCGGTTTTTGTTCAACTTCTT